ACTGTTTAGAAAGGATCTTATCCATATCTGTTTTAATGGTAGTTGAAAAGGTTTTAATTGAATGATGCACATTATTAGGTTCCCATGTACTTTTAAGTTTGAACTGACGTGTAGCTCCTGGTGTCCATGTGTTTTTTAAGGCTTGTATCTTCAAAATTCTGTTGATCTTAAATAATACAATATCCATCTTAGAGTGGTCTGACTTGGCTGTAGGTATGAATGAGAGTCATTTAGACAAAACTTTAATGTGATCACTGGTTAAGATCTTAGACGATAAATTAAAAATAGGATTTATTTCCTCTTGGTTGGTGGTTTGGATCTTGTGTTTATATATCTTGTTCCTTTGTCCTCTTCTAATTGGTCTCCTTCTTTTAAACCTCTCCTTGGACGTGTGAATATACCAGGGGGGTCGTTTGTATGTTGTTCCATCTCTAAAAAAGTAGAGGAACGTGATTGGTGAGACGATCTGATAGAGGATGCTTGACTTAGTTGATCCCTTGTTTCTGTTTCTGATGTGGACTCTGTAGAACTTGTGTCAATGGATATAAACTGTGGTTTGTGTACTCGTTGTCTATTTCTTTGAAAAGATGGTTTTCGCCTTTCTCCACTAATCCAATGGTACACTTGGTGGTGTGTTTAATCAAAATTGACTCTGTCTAATTTTTGTTGTTTAAAACGAATGAGATCATTTCTATATCTCATAATTTAATCTTGCAGTTTAACCATGTGTTGAGTGGATGCTGCGTCATTCAAGGTGGTTACATGTTTCATTTCAAATTTATTAATTGATTCTTTAGTGAGGATTAATTCATTTTTAACCTCCTCCACCACAATTATCATCCAATCTAGGGAACATTTATTTGCGATTCCCATCATTTTTTGCAAAATTCTGGCATTTCCCTCCCAATAGTGGGTGAATTTCTTACCCTAAATCCTCTGGGAATCCTTTTTGCACGATAATAATCGGAAATGAAAATTCTGTGTAGATCCAAATCCACTTCTCGTCTCTTAACCTGCCTTAGTGATCATGTCATTTATCTCATCTCATGCCTTTGTGGCAAGTATTATGTAGTCAAAACGGACATGACAGTACGAGATCGCATCAGAGGCCATAGGTCAGGTATTATGACGGCCTTTCGGGATGGAAAGACTGAGAAGCCTGTTGCGAAGCACTTCGAATTTCAACATCACTTACCAACCCTCAAATTCATTGTGATTGATCATATTCCACCATTGGTCAGGGGTGGCGATAGATCGAAGGCTTTATTACAGAGAGAGACTTTCTGGATTAAAAATTTGGATACGGTACAACCGAAAGGACTAAATGAGTATAATTCATTTAGCTGTTTTTTACATTCTCGTTGAATGTTTATTATTATTTTTACAAGTACGGACTGCTGTCTGATTAGAGATTATGGTTCATGTAGAGATGTGCTGTCGTCTATAGTAAAATAATTCATTTTGGCAGTTGATGACAATATGTATTTGCTGGTTTTGGCTTTTGTCACTCTTTTACAATATTAGACTTACCAGGTGGTCGCTTAATAATGTTATCTCTCTTCACGTTGTACTGTCACTTAGACACATTTGTTGCATGATACATTTGTTGCATTATGCTTCTTTCACAGGGAGCTGTTTTGGCTTTTTTGACACTTTATATCCACACTACACATTTTCATAACATTTACAAAACACACTGTCATTTCTTACATTTTTATACTCCATATTACATGGTTAGCATTCACATCCACACTATACATGTAAAGGATCCTTCAATTCGTGCAGCGATGATCCTTGCAGCTTCTCCCGAAATCCAGGTGAAACGAAGTGATTATAACTCCCAATCCCCCAAACATGAGTCGAGACTTCATGAAGGGGTAAAACAATCTCATTTATTGTGGGGTACCTGCCCAGTATTTATGCAGGTCTCCCACCTGGTGGACACTCCCCTAGGGGACCAGATGGAAGACTGGGGCAAAAGAATTACAGTAGCCAATCGCAGTGGCTATAACATAAGCACTCCCCTTTTACATAAATCACTCCCTCCTTTCCATCCTGGAGATAATTAACTTAAGGTAGTAAAGAGAGCCTTAATTATCTCCAGGTAGAAAGAAACATGGCTTTTCTTATATTCACCAAACAGCATAAAAATCTGTAACTTACATTTCACAGAACATAAACTTTAAGTCCCACATACCCCCAGATAGCTTGGTTCTGAGAGCATATTCTAGGCGAATAGCACTCAGATCCCACGAACACAGTTCTCAAAAACGTCGACTGAAGTTTGGATTTCACCGGCCGTTCGCGTGTTTGTATCCGACAAAAGAGTTCCATACTGTAGCTATCTGGGGTCGGTCACTTTCGCATACATCCAAGCCCTGAATGGTGCTGGGTCTCTGGCATTCGTGTGTTTTCCACCGTATGAACGATGCACCATCGACAATCTAAAATGGCGACTGCCACGTGTTCGGTAGAAGAACGCGGACCACCAGGCTATTCCCCAATTAGTCTGTGGTTAACCGCAAAATCTGGGTGGTTAATGGGCGCCACACGACCTCAGTAGGAGGTCGAGTGATTCGGCAGTTTATTCATTTTCTCGCTATGTGCACGAAATCACTCCACACACATCTGAATAACCAAACAGGTTGGTTCGCATAGTCTGTTCAATAGGGGATTTCGTTACAATACATATTACCACATCTTCACACACACCATTATTTCACATCGAGCACCTGGCATAAGTCTTACACCAGCGTTCTTATTCGAACCGAGTGACACATTCATGTCTTAAGTATAGTGGAATCTCTTTTACATTTAACCCCTTAAGGACACATGACGGAAATATTCCGTCATGATTCTCTTTTATTTCTGTTGTGTCCTTAAGGGGTTAAATTTAGTGACACATTTTTTCTGCATTTTTGTACAAAGGTTTAATGAGAACGTTTAATTGTAGTGGATTCTTTCCTTCATGCATGGCTTTAATTCTCACGATCCTCACATTCACAGTGTTTACTGTTACTATGCAACAGATCGGTTTGAAGTCACATGACATTACGTCATGATGCACGCACGGGTGAACATACTCAGTGGCGTTTTGAAACAGGAAAGGTTGGATTAATGGGGTTACTTGGTGATTGGGTAAATTTAACTTAATTTGAATACTGTATGTGTTATATTTCACTTGTTTAATTGTTGTGGCATCTTGATAAAAACCGTTTGACAGTCGAAACGTTGATTCACTTCGTTGCTCATGATTTTAATATATAAGATTTATTACAAATCCAGCGAGTGCTCTCATTTTTTCAATTTGTATAAGGGAGCAGAGAGAAGCACCCTGGTCGATTTCTTGTTTTCCTTTTTTTGATAATATATGGGTAGAGTGCCAGAATTTCGGATATTTATATATATATATATATATATATATATATATATATATATACTAATAGGTATTAAGTGTTCCAACCCATCAATTAGCTAAGATAACCAAAGTATATTCTGAAAATGAAGATTTTAATATATGCAGAAATTGAGCATAATATATCTTTACATCTGGATCCTCCACTCCATCTCCATTCTTATTCTCTGGAAAAGAACCTGTATACAAAATACTGTATAATGTGTGTGTGTGTGTATATATATATATATATATATATATATATATATATTTCTTTCTTTTAGTTTTCTATTGCTCATTTTTTGTTTTAAATTATTTTAAAAATTTACATATATAATTGTTTAATAGATCAAAGAGTATTCAAAATATGTTTGACTTGAAATATATATATCAATGTGTATTATTTAAACAACATCAAGTCTTAAAAAAATATTAATTTAATGTACTTGGATTATCCTGCAATCTCCCAACCCACACATTTGTGTCTACATGGTTATGAAGGTGGTAATAATTTTGCTGAAAGGACTAAAAGCTTGGATTTGCTTTCCGTGAGACTCTACCTTAATATCTATCATTAAGGAAGTTAGTCATACATTTTACATTATGCGCTACCAAATGTGCTTACTTTATGATTCTCTTATATCTTTTATCACATACATAACTTTCTGATGCATTTAACATTTTGAAATATAATTATTTGTAATTGGAATGTAATGATTTTTAAACCTTATATCTTCAGAAAACCAATGGCTTTTTATCTTTTTTGGCAGTGCATTTAAATATTGTAAGATGTCTGATGCTATTAAGAACCCCTGACATTAAGTCATCTAAATCTGTTACAGAAAGTGTTTCATTGATGAAAGTCAGAGAAGAGTTGCTCAAGAAGAAAGTCTTTCAAAAAGCACTGGATTTTCATAAAGTTATACTGTATTAGCTGAGATGCTTTCAGAATAATATACAATTTCAAGATGATTGACTCTAATAATATCAGTGCAGGATATGTGTTCAAAACATTGCAGATCACTGAGTTGGCATAACATTTCCTTGTAAATAAAGTAGTGATGTAAAAAGATGTTAAATATTTAGTGTGCAGATATGGCTCATTTGAGGAGATTGAAATCTCTACTTGTCAACTTTTTTCCTAGGAAGAAAAAAAATACTAATTTTAAAGATAAAAAGCAATTCCAGGGGCTTGGCTTGACTGCCATGCTGAGAGGATGTAGCGTGGTTGAGCTGCCAATAAATAATGCAGTTTACAAGCTTTAAGGGTCTTTAATACCCTGTCAATCGACGTTTTGCAACAGGCACAAGTATTGGGCACGTCTTGGGCAACATCAGCACTAGTTCTGGGTCCAACTAATACTGTTGTGGCACAGCTGCGTCCTCCGACTGGTTGCGGCCTGATGTGGTTCATTGGTGAGGGAAGCGGCCAACCTCTCCGACCAAGACTGTACCGGCTCTTCTGTGGATATCAGAGCCCTGTACTCCTCCTTTTAGGCCGGGGTTATCTCGGTCCCCACCAAGGGCAGCATGACTCACCTTCCTGTGGTTACCGGGTGAATTCTGGGTGGGTGGCCCCCTTGTGGCCTGTCTAAAATGCCGAAAGCAACACTGAAGCGTGGCATGCTGCTACGGGCAGCGGCATCCTGAAACCCGCACTGGCTACAGAAGCAATCCACGCTGTCGGCTCCAAAGCTGCAACTGGATGCAGAGCCTCAGAGAGTTACTCCCAGATGGGAACTTCAGAGGACTGTGTGCGGTACAGGCGCACAGGTGGATCCTCATTCCCTGGGACCTCGGGAATCTTAACCAGATGGAAGAGGAGCGGCATGTGCCCAAGTTTAGCCAGCTTGTAACTAGTGCAAATAAGCATTACTCACCATGTCTAGTATTTTTGTTTAGTAGCCTTGAACTCAGACATGATAGACCAGCATGTTTAGTATATCAAAATTTTTTAAAAAACTACATCATCAAAATGCCATGCAATGTACTTTCACTCAATGCATACGACTTCCTGCAACCTGTTTTTTCTATGTTAATTGTAGTTACTGTTTTGGCATTGCTCAACACTCCTTGTACACTCAAGTACTGCAAAAAATAAAGAATTATTATTTATTTATTTTTTTTTAAAGCAATTCCAGTGATTAAACACAATTATACATTGCTCAATGTATCCTTCCTAGACAAAAAAATCATATATTCAAGATTAGCCCCTAAATTTACATGCAGTGGTCATGGTCATGTCTGCTAAAAAAAAAAAAATGACATGAAAAAGAATAACATTTTCGATTTAAGCATTTCTCAAACAGGAAACTGATTCTGGAATGAATCCAAAGTGACAAATTTATGCTAACCTCCTTTTTTGTGATAAATTTATTATTAATATTATTAATATATAAATATTATTCGAACATCAAAATATTCCCCTCAAATCCATGTGCAGTAGGTGAGCAGAATCACTTTATCATTTCAAATTGTTATTATGATATAAACCAATCCAAGAAGGGTGATGTACAATGCTATGTTTATGTCAGAGGTGCACATAGATAACTATGGTGCACTTAGTGAACAGCACCCAGCCTACTTAGCTTACCTCTTTGGGTAGGATGGCCATTTAAGAACACACCTCAGCAATTACGTTTTTTTAATTTAGCAGAATACCAAGTATTTCCTCCTGGACATACTCCACCATTGCTTTCCATTTTTACTATTTAAACTGACAAATAGAGATTAATAGTTTACAGTTTCACTCCTCCTCTAGTTAGGAATAACACACACATTTGACATATTTCTTAGATAGTAGAGTATATGTTTGTAAAATAACAGAAGAAATTTGAAGAAATCTTGTAATATCTTCTTTATTGAGCTAGCTGAATTTTGGAATGACAAGCTCTTGGGAGAACCTCCCTTTCTCAAGTCTAAGGCAATTCTGGGCAAAAACAACGCATATGGGGGGCACTGTTTTACTAGTTGAGTTGAATTGTGATACTGGGGTTAAAGCAACATGAGTGCAGGTTAATATTTTGTGTAAGGATCGCAGAGTGGGGGGAGAGGATCTGTGATCCTTACACAAAGTATTTACGACCCTCTGGGGGAATGGGATCTATTTTCTATCAGACCTGTGTATTATCTCCCCTCATATCACTTTAACCCCAGTTTAATTTATTTTGCTCTAAAATTATTTAGACTTGAGAAAGGGTTGTTCTCAAAATAGTTTGTCATTCTAAAGTTCTGTTAGTCCAATAACAAAGGTATTGCAAGATATTAATTTTATGTTATTTCACATCTGCATCACTGGACTAATACGTATACAATCTCTACTCTAACATATGTAGGAGAAAATGTATTCATACTTACCATAATTTTCTTTTCCTGGTCATAGACCCATCTCATCAGTTCTATAGTGGAAGACATTGATCTCAGTAGGCTCATGATGTTCTCTCCTGTTGTCACACTGACAGTCAATATTTCTTTGGCTTTTGACTGAAGATATCCACCTCTGTCTTGTCAGAATGGATTGAAGAGATTCAATCTTGAATTTCATGATTCTCAAGTACATGTTTAGTCTGTGCAAGTCCAGAATTGGTCTCCAATCTGCAGATGCTTTTTTGCTCTCTGTGAAGCACTCTGACAGTCTTAACCCCTTAAGGACCGGTGACGGTTCAGGACCGTCATCGGCATTTTTGCGTTGCCGACTGCTGACAGTCCTGAACCGTCACAACGGTCTTATGTACTTACCTGATCGCCGTCCTTCCCCCCGCGACGATCAGCAGTGCTCCCAGTGTGGGGAGACTGCCTGCAGCCCAGACAGTCTCCCCATAGTGGATTAGGACCCCTGGGGTGTCCATGTGTCTGCCTGCAGGGGGTCTGCCTGTGCTGACAGGTCTCCCTGCTAGTGTAAAATAAAAAAATAGAAATAATGTAAATGTTAATAAAAAAATAATAATATTATATATATATATTTATATATATATATAATGTCATTCTAAGTGTATTTTTATATTAATATGTACATATATTAATATAAAAATACACTTATAATTAAATTACACACGTATATATATATAATATATATATATAATAACGATATATAGTGTATATATATATATATAATAAAATACAAATAATACATAATTTAAATTAAATAAAAAAAATGTAAAAATAATAAAAAAATTTAAAAGAATTATATATCTATATGAAATTTTGTTCTAACTGTATTTTGATATTAATATATATATATATTAAAATAGACTTAGAATGAAATTGTATATATATATATCTATGTATTTATAAATAAATAAAAATAATACAAAATATACATATGTCCATATACAAAATGACATAAATAATTATATAAATATACACGTAGACTTAAAAAAATATTAAATTAATTCAACGTGCGTATTTATGTAATATTTTTACATAATTAAGTAATTTTATTGATTGCAATTTGAGGGACCTGCCTGCCAACCCAGGCCGAAAGGCCAGAGAATTTAATTTGCTAGCACTGTATTTTACCCTGTAACTTTCTATGACACCCTAAAACCTGTACATGGGGGGCACTGTTTTACTAGGGAGACTTGGCTGAACACAAATATTAGTGATTCAAAACAGTAAAACATATCACAGATAAAATTGGATCCAGCAAAATAGTAAAGATAGTGGATGAAGATGGGGTATATCTGGATCCAAAAAAAATAGGTGAGAGATTTAATAAGTATTATGAGGCTTTGTACAATTTAACTCCCTCGATAATAAATGAGGAGGATTATTTGAGTAAAATTAATACACCTAAATTTACAATAGAACAAAGTAATAAGCTAAATACTTTAATTACAGTTCAAGAAGTAGAGGCAGTAATAAACAAATTAAAACCAGATAAGACGCCAGGCCCAGATGGTTTTGCAAATATATTCTATAAATCTTTTAAAAATCTTATAGCTCCCCATTTAACAAATATGTTTAATGAAATCGTATCAGTTGGCAAATTTCCTACCGAAATGCTGAGTGCAAATATTCTTCCAATTCTTAAAGATAACAAAGATCCTTTAAAGGTGGAAAATTATAGACCTATCTCCTTAATCAACACAGATGTTAAAATCTTTTCATCAGTCTTGGCTCATAGACTAAGGGGACTAATGGATAATATAATTAAAAACGATCAAATCGGTTTTGTACAAGGCAGAGATCCAGCAGACAATTCCAGAAGATTATTGGACTTGATAGATGCATCTAGAAGAAATAATAAATCTTTATTTGTACTGGCTGTAGATGCCGAGAAAGCTTTCGACAGGGTCGGTTGGGACTTTTTAAGGAAAACTATGGAAAAATTTGGAATTCAGGGAAGGATGCTCAATGCTATTTTGGCACTATACGAAGGCCCAAAAGCAAGAACAGTGGCCCCAAATATATGTGCAGAGTGGTTTACACTAAAAAACGGCACGAGACAGGGCTGTCCTCTGTCGCCTATTCTATATATTATGACAATGGAGATCCTAGCTATTAGTATAAGAGATAACTCTCAAATCAAAGGATTTAGATACAGAGAGAAAGAATTTAAATTAAATCTATATGCGGATGATTTGATTTTGACCCTAACCGACCTTGTCGAATCGCTTAGTGCTCTGATGGAAGAGATAGACAAATACAGTCTGATTTCAAATTATAAAATAAATGCAACTAAATCCACTTTTTTAGCTATAAATATTTCCAGAGATTCTATCCTACAGATTAAAGATAAATATAAATTTAATTGCAATAAAAATATACTATCTTATTTGGGTATAATGCTTACTGATGACTTAAAAGATACGTTGCAAACAAATTTTTTGAAAATATTTAGATTGACACATGAGTCATTAAAAAGATGGAGACAAATTGAACTATCCTGGTGGGGTAGAATTAATTTGGTCAATTCGTATTTACTCCCTAAATGGTCTTATCTATTTCGTATGATCCCCTTGAGAATGCCACAACCATGGTTATGTATGATACAATGAGATATAAACAATTTTATATGGAAAGGAAAAAGGCCGAGGATGAATAAGCAACTTCTGATGCAGAAGAGCGGGAAAGGCGGGATAAACTTTCCAAATGTCAACATAACCTATTTAGCTAATATGATGTTCCATATATATAAGACGCAACTATTAAGTTCAGAGGAAGCTGGTTGGTACCAATTAGAAATGGAGATGGTAGAAATGGAAAACTTACATCAATTGATTTGGTTAAACAAGATGAAAGAATTAAAAAGGTCTGTACTTCCAATAATTGTTTGAAATCAATTCTAATGGAGTGGGAAAAGTTGAGGATTAATAGCGGAATATGTAATAAAATATTGGGAAATTTTAACTTTAGTATTATACAACTAAGGATGAAAGATTTAAATGTAAGTGAATGGACAAGGAAAGGTATTGACTATATAAATCAAATAATATCGGGGAACAAAATTAAATCATTTGAAAATTTGATACAAGAATTTTCACTACCTAGGAAGGAGTGGTAAAATTATTTAAGAATTAGAGGTTTTATTAAACAGTTTTTGTTACACCGACCCACAGCGGTATAGAAAATTTGATAGTTTTATTAAAAAATGAGAATGTACCGCAAATAGTTTCAAAGGCAAGGACTGCTCTTCTTCAAATTGAAGCACCAAATTTAAATGTAAACATCCAAAAATGGAGTAAAGAGCTAAATGTACAGATTCTCAAGTCTGAATGAGATCAAGTATTATATCAAACAAGTAAAATAATCCATTGTCTGAACCTTCTTGAGGTATTATTTGAATTAATGAACCGCTGGTATTTAGTCCCTACCAGATTGTCCAA